ATTTCATCAAAAATATCTTAAATTGTGTTCCGAAGATGAACGAAGGTCTTTCGGGTTTGGAACAACACGAGGGTGAGTAATTAAGGACAGAATTTTCATTTTTGGGTGAACTATCCCTTTAAAAAGCTGCTAAACATTTGCCAAATGAGGAAACACTTATGGGGGACTTTTCCCTGTATTTTCGAATTTCCTCCTGGCGTTGTCCACTCATTGGAGGTTACTGTGACGCACCGGTAGTGCATCCCTAAATGAGAACACATCTGCAGTGAGTACATCTCAGCTATTCACCCATCTCTACAATCTGTTCCACGTGGACCGCTTACTCACTGCCTGCCCTTTAGTGTGCACTACGCTGAATATTGCACTTTACTGAGGAATGGTCAGACAGGCCTATCTTTGTTTAGACCTCAAAAAACACTCTTATTATAGCAAAGCATAAACAATAGATTGCCGACAGCTAGTAGGTGTTTGGCACGTCTAACTTATCAAGCTCTAAGGGACAAGTGTCCAGTATCAGAAGTATTTTCTCTCTGCAGAAAGTCATTTTTTACTCGCTCTCATGGCAGTCTAAATCTGTATGTTGCTTTGATTTTAGAACACTCCTGTCAAGCTAAAAAAAAACAAACAATAAAAGTAGTCCGTACAACTTTTGTACAGTACTCTCAGTGTTAAAGTCTTCTTGCAATAGTTTTCTGTAGCAAAATTTAAATGACCAAGCCTACATTTGCATCGAAGATTTAAAAAATTGTTACTCGCACAAGATTGTGTTGTGTAATTTTCGAATTGAATATGAAACGAGCCTTAGTGGAGTGGATGATAAACGTGACATAAAAGTAAAGATAGACTAAAGATAAGTTCAGAAAAGAGTGTGCGTGTGAGATTTTTAAATATTTTTGGTCAATATGAACTAATGTTGTATAGTGTAAAAATACATAGATTCTTCAAAAAATTCCGCTTTCCACTGAAAACAAAAACAAAACAAACAACAACTGCATATATGTTTGGAACAACAATGAGCGCGAGTAAATAATGCCAGAAGTTTGGGTGACCTGTTCCTTTAAGTGTTATTTTCATGATCCTTCTTAGATTGTCTTGCTCAGATCCTGTTGCAGTGTGATTTGATGATAAGAGAAACATTATGGAGGCAATCAGAGTTGTAAAGATTGTTCTATCTTGTGGTTTCTTTCCTGTAACACGCATGACGCGCTCTCATACCATGCTTCATGTACTTCTCTTTACGTGTGCATGGATGTACTCTTCAGTGCTAATTCATTATCTTGTGCATGGTTTAAATCCGGCCGACACCATATATGCTCACACTGCCTGCTACTATGAAAAGAGTGCATTTCTGTATTCATGCTGTTGCGTAACATCAGCGCTGCCAAATATGTTTGGATCTGCACAGTATTTGTTTACATTCTTTGAAATGTTTTAAAACCTGCCATACACTGTGTTGGACATTTTCATATGATAGCAGTATCACCTAAACCATAATGTGGGAAAAGCGAAGTCATGTATGCGAACATTGACGCTTGAGTAGATTTGAGAAGGAGTTGGCACAAGCGTGACCATCAGCGCTGCCTCATTTTCAGTGGGACTGTACATGCTTCTGTGCTCTTGCAGTTATTGTAAACATTAATGCTGTAGATGTTCTGCACTTGTGTTCTTATTCTCCTTATTTTTGTGTACATTCATATCTTTCACAAATGATCTAGTGCTATTTTGTGTTAAAAGTAAGGCTACATGTATAATGCAGAATACACGCCATACTAAACCGATGAATATTTTGTTACTTGTGCCGTTTTCCTCCATACTGTCTCATAGTTTAGTGGGCAAATGAAACACACTGACTTCTCCGTTTTCTACGTGCCCATTTGTATAATATTGCCAAATAAGATATTTAATAATTTATGTAAAAGTATAAGTTGCAATGGTGAAAACACTACTTGTCCCTCCAGTGAAGTTGCTGAGTAGTTTACACATTAAAGCTTAATGCACTACACCTGTACACTGTAAAAAGCTGTGGGTAATAAAGCTTTTTCATTTGAATTGTGACGTCTGCTTATTTATGCTCCACTCTCTAACATCTTTTATCTCAATAATCAAGAAAAATGTGAGGAATGTTGCCGCGCCATGGAAACATAACTTTCTGAACTCAGAACTTCCTCCTCTATAAAAAGAGCAATTGTTTGAACTAAACTGCAAAGGCGTCTTGTGCCATATTTCCGCAAACTTCAGATGTCAGATAATCTCACTTATGGTCCATGTATACTTAATGGCGTCGACTTCCGCCACATTTCTGCTGAAAGGTCAGTGCTACACGTGCTCCCAGTATAGTACTTTCCTATAGAACTCTGTGGTAGTAGCAAAGTCTTTCTGTCATTTCTAATACAGTTTTTCTCAGTCGATTTGAGACATCTCCAGAGGAATGTGATTGCTCTCAAAACAATTAACACCGACATCTAAACACTCTTACCTTAGTTCAACTTTACTGCAAAATGAAGCACTGTACTTTTTTCTAGTAATGCATTTATTAAAAGTAAATTCTAACGTCAAAACTACATGTGTATTCTCTATTGTTTTAGAACATTTTCAGCAATAGATGCACAAATGCGTCTTTCACTAATATTGGCACCCTTGGTAAATATGAGCAAAGGCAGCTGTGAAAATAAATCTGCATTGATCTTTCATTCAAAAAATTTGCAAAATTCTAACCTATCATTGAAGTAAAACGGTTGAAAGTGAAACTCATTATGAAATAAATGTTTTTCTCCAATGCATGGTGGCCACAATTATTGGTACCCCAAGAAATTCTTATGAGTAAAATACCTCTGAAGTATATTCCCATTCATATTCCCATTGTTTAGCACACCAGGGTGACTAGGAGCATGAAATTGTCCAGCCATGACTTCCTGTTCCACAGGATTATAAATATGAGGAACACGAAGGCCAGATTCCCTTAATCATCCATCAGAAGGAGTAAAACCAAACCATATAGTTCTGAGGTGCGGAACAAGATGATTGTTGAGCTTCACAAAATAGACAGTGGCTGTAAGAAAATGGCTAAAGCATTGAAAATCCCCATTTCCACCATCAGGGCAATAATTAAGAAGTTCCAATCAAATAAAGATGTTACAAATCTGCCTGGAAGAGGACGTGTGACTATATCGTCCTAATGCACGGTGAGGAGGAGAGTTTGAGTGGCCAAAGACTCTCCAAGGTATAGTTGAGACTTGGGGTCAGAAAGCCCAAAAAATAAAATATCAAACAGCCCCTATATCACCACATGTTGTTCGGGAGTGTTTCAAGAAAAAGCCTCCTCGCTCATCCAAAAACAAACTGCAGCATATTCAGTTGTCAGACACGACTGGAACTTCAAACGGGACTGGCTTCTATGGTCAGATGAAACTAAAAAAATAGCTTTTTGGCAGCAAACCCACCAGATTGGTTTGGTGCAAACGGGGATAAAAAGTACCCCATGCCGGATCTTTAATGTTGTGGGTCTGTTTTTCTGCCGGAGGTCCTGGACATCTTGTTCAGATATTGGCATCATTGATCCTATCAAATACCAACAGATAAAAAAAAATCCAAACCTGACTGCCTCTGTTAGAAATCATATAATGGGCCGTGGTTGAATCAAAAACAAACATCCAAATCAACACAAAAATGTCTCACTGAGCACAAAATGAAGCTTCTGCCATGGCCGTCCCAGTTCCGTGACCTGAACCCTATAGAAAATGAGAAGGATGAACTGAAGAGAAGAAGAGATCTGGAGTGATTCTGTATGAAGGAATGTTCTCTGATCTCTTTTCAGGTGTTCTCCGAACTCATCAGGCACTATAGGAGAAAACTCAGAGCTGTTATCTTAGGAAAAGCAAGTTGCAATAATTGGGTGCCAATAATTGTGGCCAACATGAACCAGAGAAAAACATTTATTTCATAATGAGATCCCCCCACCCAATATTAGTGGAGGGTACTGTATCAACCATGTGAAAAATCATTGGCCCTTTAAACTTAAAATCTGGTAGGGCCACCTTTTGCAGCAGCTGCAACCAAACGCTTCTGATAACTGGAGATCAGTCTTTTACAGTGCTGTGGTGAAATTGTGGCCTAAGTGTGTGTGTGTGTGTGTGTGTGTGTGTGTGTGTGTGTGTGTGTGTGTGTTTGCTGTTGTGCAGTACAGCAATCACTGAATTATTGATCATATCATTGATCATACCTTTCAATTACATTTGAAAGAGAATTTCATCTACATTGTAGAATACATTCTTGCTGGTCATGCATTGTGGGAAAATTAGGGGGAAAAAACTGTGAATGTTGAATCCATGTTTGACACTCCTTCAACATCTCCATAGGCCTCTTTCATTGTGGCTGGGAGGCCTACATGGTCAATTAGAGAAATTCTGATTTCATTTTAAATTTATCTGTACCTCTCCTCCC